ATGATGACATTAATGATGCCATTGCTAGATGATGCCAATGATGATGACTGATGATGATAATGATGATGACTGATTATGATATTATGATGGATGATGATGGATGATGCCAGTGATGGTGATGATGGTGATGCCAGCTGTTGCTGCTGCTGATAATGATGGTGGATGATGATGATGATGTCAAGTCATAGAATGTCATAGCTGTCTCTATCAAATACTTTTGTTTAACGCRATCATGATGACTGCATGACAACAGTATTCAACAATATCTTACCAAACTCTCACGCATTCCATTAACCAGCTCAGCCGCTATATCAGAAGATACTCTCTGAAACCCAACAATCAAAACATTATTTGGTACACAATCAAAAATAAATTCCATAGGGGATTATTTCTCTACCCCATAACCCATAGATACCCCCAAAAGTAATCCAAACATCTACATATGGGGCACTTTCTGCCACCCCAACAAACAAAGGTGTCCCTCTATTACTGGTTTCATGTTTTTACCTGTATGTTTTGGTCTGAAGCTTGTTCTCCGTTTAATAAATCATTATYGAGATACTCGCGGAGGAGTCTGTGAACGCGCGCATACGGTTCTGATTGACCTGATGAATAATATGCAAAACAGTTCATATATTATTAATTCTGCATTCTTTTTTATTTTCCTTAGATTTCATCCATTCATTCATTCATTCCCTCTTTGCATTCTTTCACCCCTCTATTTCAGCCATCTGTTTACTCCATTTCTTCATTCATCTTTTCATCCCTCTTTCATTCCTTGCATCTTTTTATCTGTCCACCCATTACTTCTATCCCATCACTCCACTTCCCTATCAGTATACATCTGTCTGTCCACCCATCCATATGACTGTTTGTTCACACATTCATTCTATCCTTCTATATTYATCCATCAATCCATCTTTCAATTTGTGTCAAACTCCAAGACTTACCTAACATAATAAATATTATATCTTGTAAAGACATGACCATTCCAAACCGCTCAATCAGCTTGTTTAAAAGTGCTGCAAAAATTAAACAAAGTATATTAAACACAAACTACAGTAAATAAACTTAGTCCATCCCTGGTCATGCCATGTGTTTTATTGTACGTCAATAATAACATACTCACGTCCTTCTATCACGCCATCCGAGGGAGCATTCAGTTCTTCACCTTCTTGCGGCAGCTGATTTATGAAGTCATTTATAGTCTGATGAGAACCTGTGGAGGCATAAAAACACCACTTTACATTTAACATTCTAAGTGAAAATAAAATAGCGCAAAGCTTCTGTAACTTCTTTGACATTTTTTTATCTATTCTTTCCTCCAGAGAATGTTATAAATAAATTTACACAGCATTTAAAAAATATCATGAGAACTTGGTGGTTGCTAAATGCCTGTCAGAATTAGGTTTTTACTGCCCCCAGTCAAAACTTTAAAAGCTACTGACAGATTCATTTTCATTGATGACAGCAAAAAAATAAATTGACCTGTAGCTTGCAGCAACCAAGTTTATATAACATTGAAAACTGAGGCTTTGCACCATCCCATGATGACAGCCATGACAGGAGGCAGAAACAACTGAATCTGCTTTAATCTTGTTTGCATGAGAAAGAATTCAGTTTCCCAAGTGAAAGAGACTATTGTTGTGCCTCTTGTCATGGCTGCCTTCATGTGATGCTGCAAAGCCTCTATAATCAACTTATAGATGAATTTGATTCTCATCTTTAATGAAAAATCAAAAGGTACTAGTTTCTTACCTATTTCTCCACTGCTTGCCTCACCAATGGAACTCATTACAACATTTCGTAAGATATCAAGGTCTAATGCTGGTCCACTTGTGGTCCTCTGAAAAAATTATGGCAACAGAAAGAATAAATGAATAAAATGAACGAATGAACAAACRAACGAACGAACGAACGATCGAGCGAACGGACGGACGGATGGATGGACGTATGGATGGATGAATGAATGAATGAATGAATGAATGGATGGATGGATGGATGGATGGATGAATGAATCTGAATGAATGAATGAGCAAACTTCATGAGTGTACAAAACATATCAATCACCTGTCGTCCYGATTGTTCCCTTGACTGACTGCCGCCACTAGTAGAAGTGTCATCATCTTGTGTCCTTGCCAACAGGTCTATCAATGTCTCTACTACCTGGCCTGTTGAAYCAAGTGGGTCAGAACTATCACTTCTTGTTGTTCTACCTGCAAGATACAACATTATATTCAAGTTCATTCGCAAAGGTTTTTATTCTCATGGGGATAAGCTGGTCACTGTGTGATCAATGTTGGTAAATCAGAGAAAAATTGAAATCATTAATACCTTGTGAAGGAGTCTGACTAGGTCTAGCACTAGCTCCTTGAAACATAGATGCAAACACATCAGAAAATGACTGTGGAGGGCCTTGGTTCTGAGATTCCTGTGTGGCCTCCCTACTTGCATGCTCTTCTTGGGTTCTCTCCTGCTCTTGGGCTCCCTGTGTTCCATGTGGTTGGTGAGCCCTGGGGCCAAAATGAAAGGATTCACAAGGAACTAGAGGATCAGGGTGACTTGAATTCAATGGCAGCGACCCGAGCCCTATCCTTGGGATAACACGAGATGTTCCTGCCGTACCAGAGTTCTGGGTTTGTGTCTGGTTATCTCCTTGGCTGCGTCCAGGGGAGGGCGTAGCAGTAGCTGTTCTTGACGTCTCACTGTGTGATGTCACTGGGTTGCTAGAATTAGAGAGTAACGCTACAATGTCATCCATGACAATTCGCACACTATCTGCTCCRCTGGTTGTYGTACGTGTTCCACTCGATGTTGATGTTGTTTGCGACCCACTATTAGCAGTTGTTCTCTGAGTGCCATTGGATCCTTGGTTACCATGGCTACCACTGTTGCCCAGAGATCCAAAATTTAACATAAAGCCAGGTGACTGGTTGGTGCGAGTGTCAGGTCCAGAGGTGGGTGGGTTATTGGGATGGTTGCCATGTGGGCGGGGTATGGAGCTAGTGATCACTGACGTGAARGCAATGGCTGGGACAATGTGCACTCTACTGCCTGAGGCGTTAACACTTGTTGAACCCTGAGAAAAAAATTACAAAGAGGTCATTAAATTATCTTTGTCCCTTACCATTGGGGTCTTAGGTTCRAATCCTTGACTCAGCAACACATGTGAGTAAAGTTTATGTGTCAATCAGCCCAGAGGTTGTTTCAGGGTTTGATCTGTGAGTTAGCAATGCCCCAACATTGATCAGCCCAGAGATTGTTTCAGAGTTTGATCTGTGAGTTAGCAATGGCCCAACATTGATCAGCCCAGAGAATGTTTCAGGGCATCAATGAAATAAATTTTGAATCGTGACTACCAATGAAATGGGAAAAGCTTACACCAAAAGTACACCCTGATAAACAAAGAAACCTCCTAAARAATATATGCCGAGTGTATCTTACCTGTTGGGTGTTTTGTGATCCAGGATTTTGCATTCCTGGAAAAAGAGAAGACAACATTGGACTTGCGCCCACATGTCCAGAAAGAGGTGGGAGCACATTAAGATGCYGAGGCTCTGGGGACCTGAAGTTAAAGGTCAGGTCAGACAGAGCATGGTATGCATGGCTCAAATTGTGTAGTGTCTCGGCAACTCTGTCTGGCAGACTGTCGTCAGAAGGAAGTAAATCCTAAGAATAATGTGACAAAATGACTGTTAATTGATGACTCTTAAAACTCCTGTGTGTACAGGCTTAGCCTCGAATCCAGGATCT